ATTTATTTCTTTTAATCAGGTTATAGGTGTTGGGGCGTGGGGGTCTTGCTGAGTCATGTGGTTGGATTCTTTTTATTGGTTTTGGGGGATTTACTGCAAGACATTTGAAATTTAAAAATTTAAAATTTGAAATGGTCCTAGCTCATGTTCAGCCAGTTTTGAGGTCAAATTGAACCCGGGTCAAGCCCGAACTCGTGCCATGCTATTTAAAAAAATACATCAATTTTTGTGTCATTTGTGTGCGTGCGTAACCCTAACAATACGGGTGTCATTCCTAGCTTAAGTTGACGTTCCGGACGCGTCGGCGCGGGGTTCGGCATCGGGGGTCGGCCGGACGAGTTCGCCGATGGGCGAGTCAATTCAAGTCAAAGTCGTGTGTGGTGCAGTGAGTGCGTGAATTACGGCGTTCGCGAGTAATCGAGTCACAAAGGGCTCACCTAAGGCTGTTTGATTTTATAAAAACTTATTTTTGGGCCCTCTACATGTTGATCCTTAGTCCTTGCAATTAGAAGTGAAGTGCTTGGAACCACTCATGCGATTTCTTCACAAAAATGAGTCAAGAAGTGGTTTGAAGTTCTACGGGAGGTGAGCTCCATTACTAGTTTGCTAAGATGATCAACAAAGAAGTCCTAAGGCTAGATTTTGGGTTTTTGAAGTAGGAAACTAAGACCTCACTAAAAATGAGGTCAACAACAATGTAAAAACATAATAGGACATTCAATGACTCGAGATAGGCTACAATTTTTTACTGTCGTGCCTTCACTCTCCGTGTTATCGTCTTGAAAGTAGTAGAGTCTAGCTGCCCTCCTAACAGTTCCAATCATCCTTCCCGAATGATGTTCCTGAAAAACACAACCATCAGAAAATATATTAGCAACGCAATCAATGTCACTTACCAACTTGATGACTGATAATAAGTTACATTGCAATCGAAAAACACATATGACAGACTAAAGAGTTAGATCAGTCGTTAATAAAATTGGTAAATTTACCAGTAATGGGGCTACATGATACATCAGCAATTCTGACGTTATTTTTTTTCCAAAGCACGGGTTGGAAGTCGAGAAAGCTTACGAGCAGTCAGTCATGTGATTTATGGCACCTGAACCAATAATTCATAAGATTAGAGGAGTAAACTATGAGCGCCATAAGAAGAGTACCTTGTTGGACATGGGACACCCGCAAAGAGTTGATTGGCTTGAAGAAACTTGATCAATTGCTCCATTTGGTTTTTCAAGGATTCAAACGATTCCAAGGTATTCCAAGTAGGAGTCGGTTGAGTCGTGCTTTGTTCGGTTATCGTCTTGAGTCCCTTGGAGCAAAGGATTTGGCCTGGCTTACCGTGAAGTTTCCAACACTTTTCTCACGTATAATTGGGTTTGTGACAATAATCACAAGTTGGGTGGCAATTCTGGGGTGGCAATTCCAAGGTGCCATAAAAGAGAGGTGGGCGTTATTTGAGATCGAGGCGGATGACTCAGCTGAAAGAGTAAAAGTGTCGAGCATGACAAATCTTCTGCTTTCTTCCCGACGAATTTCAGTAAAATCAACTTGACTGGAAGGAAGAGGGTCCCGACCAATAATACGGCCCCGAACTTCGTCGCGATATTTGTTAAGACCAGCAAAGAATTGGAACATACAATCATTTTCTACGATTTTCTGGAAGAGAGATAAATCAGCTGGAGAATCTCAAGTGTAGTCGTAGTACAAGTCACATTTCATCTATAATGCAACAAGGTCATTATAGTATTGGGTCATATCTTGACCTCTGTTTTGCCTCCCGAATCTTCTTAGATACCTCATAGTGTTGGACGGAATTTCCTATATCGAGTAGGTACCACGGGCAGCCTTTCAGAGAGCACTAGCTGAAGGGAGGAATATCTACAAACGAAAAATTGAAGTTTTCATGGAGTTGATCAAGCAAGACATGACCATGGAGTTGTCCGTTTCCTAAGCTCCATACGTGGGTCAATCTTTGGAGGCTCACAAATCATATTTGTGAGATGATTGAACTTCTTACGCCTTTTGATGAACAAGGATACCACTTGTGACCATTGCAGGATGTTATCACCGTTAAATTTATGAGTTGTAATCATGAAATTCACATAGTCTTCCGGTCCTCCAGTCTGCAAGGGAGCGAAGGTTGGAGTCGATCCTCCAGTGGAGTGAAAAATGCCTTTTAATGATGATTTATTGAAAGAATCAGCCATAACTCCGACTGAGCAAAAAGATATTATGACTCTGAGTCATCGATGAATTTTGGTAAAATCACGACAAATGGATACAGCTACGAGAATTTTTTTCTGAAGAACAGCGGAGGTATCTGGCAAACAAGAACCTGCAGGAAGATTTTGGAAGGACAAAAACCTGCAAGTAGAGCAGCAAAGGATAAACCTCGTAGACAGGAACGCTTTGGACCGCTACAGGGCTACAGGAATTCTTGCTGCAGGTGGAAGACAACCGGCTGGGAAAGCTCCTTGGCTCACAGAAGTTTTCTCACGGCTAACAGGATTCTACGGTAGGATACCAATTTATCACGGTTGATTGGAATCTCATGGGACAAGGGTGCTGGAGGTTCTCACGGCTGACAGGATTCTCAGCGCTAAAGGTTTCTCACAAGAAAAGGAAAAATTACTGCTCTCATGGGGAAAATAGCAGCAGGAAAACCTGCTAGAAAGGGAAATCAAGTGGAGGCAGCGACTATTGAAACTAGTAGAGAAGGCCAAAGGCTGTTGGATCTAGGTTTAGTCTCTGATACCATGTTGAAATTCGTAATAAAATAACTCAATTTCTTTGACATAAGGAGGGATATTTAAACTCAATTACATTAAGCATAATAATGGAAGGCAATAAAATAAGAATAAAATAACTCAAAAAAAAACAAAAATTGAATAAAGCAAAAGGGGAAACACATAATCAAAGAATAAAATAAAAAAATAGATAATAATGGCGTAAAGATAGCCATTATAATCTAATACTTATAAATAAACGTACAAGAGCTTTTACTAAGCATCTCTTACTTTTATTTTTGTCATATAAAAATCTTTCACATAATCACTAATCCTTTCTCACTAGCCTACAAACTATTTATATACATTAAATAGAGGTTTTAAAAAAAGTGAAGTAGAATAATACAACAAGGGAAGAAATAGATATTCAACAATTGGAATAGGCAAATTTACCAAGAGAAGAATCTAATTTAATGTAAACAGACCTTTAATTTAAAATAAAAATTTGATAGATAAATAAAAAATATTATGCTAAACTAATGGCCAAAAGCTACACTCAAATCCATGACACTAAATAGCTTAAAAAGTTTTGTTCCAACTGCTACAATCAACATTGTTAGAGCTTTATGATCATTAGCAACTAATAAGAACTGATAGATACAACAATTTGATGTGAAAAAGAATTTTTAATAAAGAATAAAAGATAAATAAGCTAATAAAGCCACTATATTGGATGAAGCCAAGTGCATGGTTTGGAATGTTCGCCAAAGTAACATTTAATATGAAATATAAACAAAGTAAAAAAAATCATATATTTTTTTTAAAAACACGACTTCAGCGAGAAACTCCATACAACTAGTTTATTTTCACAAAATTACAATGATATCTAATAACCAAATGAAGAAAATTTTAAAGTAGAAGTTGGCCGCCAGCTAGTCTTTTCTTAGAGCTTATGTTGCACACGGTCGATATAGAATCTTCATATCAAAAAATGCATAACAGACCTATTGAAACAAAGAGATAATTTAGGAAGCAAACCTATTCAAAACCGCACAAAGTTAATATTAAACATGAATATGCTCCAAAAGAGATGGCAATTAAAAAAACTATATTGAAAAGTGTTGGGAAAAATTATCTGCTTATCATATACTTGACATAATATTCTATTGGTTGTTGAAATGACTAGTTGATTTACAAAAACCTTTAAATAGTAATATCCAAGTGCAGCAATATAATTATATATTATTTAAAAGGAACATTAAGCAAAGGAAATTCTATTCAAAATGAGTGAAAATACGACTCTTAAAACATACAAAAATAAAGATTATGTGGCTTCTACGGTCGACAAGAGATGAACTTCAGAATATTGCACTTCCTTAGAATGTAAGTTCATGCCTTAAATAAAAAATGAAATATGATAGTAACATCTAGCATGAAAACTACATTTAGATGCAATGCACTAAAAATCCATGACTTTATATGATTTAAAAGTAAAAGAAGTTGATAATTAACTTATAAAAAAAATGTTTGGCAAGTAATCTACTATGTACTCATTGGAAATCACAGGTGAACAACTTGTTGACATTATCACAAAGGTTTATCAAGGGCAATCATTCAATTATTAGGAAAGTATGGAATGGATGACATCCATACATTTAATTGCTGTAAAGTATAGAAAATTAAATAAATGTCACCAGTAGAGAACCAAGCCCACCAAGATTTCCATCCTATTTCCTTCCTCATTTGTTGCCACCACATTGATTTACGGAATCCCTATTGCCAACTCATCATTCGCTGAAGTATAGTAATTATTTAGTAGAAATTTTTCAGTCAACTCATCAAACCACATATTATTATAATTGCGTAGTTTTTATTCATTAATTTTGTGAGTTTCCTATCAGAAACACTCCAAGGATTATATAAATGTAACATAAATGATGAAATAAGAAATTCAACCAATTCTTGTCAAACATAATTTCAAGCTATTTGTTTGGATTAGAAGCATTAACAGTTTCAATGATGCTGGTCATGATTGCAAAAAAAGAAATCCATAATTTTGGCAGTTTAAGGTTTTGATAGAGATTTTAGGCATCCTACCAAAATAGCATAAAATTATGGATAATATTGAGACACTGCCTTAAATTGAGAAAAAATTCATAGGAAATGGAATTTGATCATGCATTCTTAACTTCATAAAATGAATCCTGCGGGATGAAAATCAATTAGGTGTTAAATGCTACTATAAAATTTAACGGGTTTTAGACAATTTACAAATTGGACGTCATGTTGCAAGAGCTCTGGGATGGCCATCATGATTAGATCGGTGCCCTTCTGGTAGTCCAATCTCCCAATGAAGCCAATCTACAAGTCCAACAACAATTGATAACAAAGATGACAAGAACAGCTTTTCAAGGAGAAACAAAAATCAACTAAGAGTTCCTATTAACCAATGGGCATTCTGGCCTAATGGCAAAGCCTAGTTCCTTCTGCAATGCAGCCTTGCATTTTGCCTGCGATTGGATATCATGATAAGAAGTACGCTATCTGTCTTTTAGACATTCACAATTAATGAAGCAATATACAAAACCAGAATTTAGCATATCTAGTACTTTTCCAGAGAGATTGTCGACAGAATAGTGAAATGGGATGTGTTTGTCAAAAGCAGGATCCCATTCAGCAACATCAACACCATTTGTGATTCCTGGTCAATAAATGAAGATCAAATGAAATCATAATCCTCATCCATAAGGCGCCATTGGGATCAATTTTGTTTTATGTTTTCGATTTTTCTTTTGTTTTTAAAAACGTGTTTTTTTGGTGTGCTTCTTACATATGCCTATCTTTTGTTTTTAAAAACGTGTTTGTTTGGTGTGCTTCTTACATATGCCTATTTTTTTGTTTCTAAGAACAAATTAACATGTTTTTTAAAATACTAAAAATAACATTTTGGTATTTCAAGTATTTACAAAAATAATCATATCTTAATCAAACATGTTTTGTTTCAAATCAAAACATAAACATAAGAAAATAAAAATAATAAATAGAAAACAAAAAAAAAATCCCAAACAGTTCCTTAACCTTCCATGAAAAAAGAAGTACAAGGAGAGACAAATCACCATTCAGAACAGTCTTTCGGTTACTTAACAAGCCTTCAAGGCCGCAACCACCTTCACTAGTTGTTATTTCCCATGCATAACCCTATCATTAGATGTCAAAATTTCTATATGCATAAAGAAAATTATCTAAATCACTTGTAAATATTTAGACCCAAAAATTCTTTAGTGGAGCCAAATGGCAAAAGCATCTTAAAGTAGTATGTTAAACTCACCTGACTTACTGTAACTATCCGATCAGCTGTAACAATAGCGCCCTTTAGAATATTTACAGTCTCACCCTTGTCAAGTGCATGTGTTCTAGCCCAAGTGGGAAACACCCATTCTACAGCCCCATACCACTCTGGTGGCAACCCCAAGTTGGGGTATGTAGCTGCTGGCTCCACCCCCTTGCATGGATAGCATGCAATAGGTCAAACATTAAGTGACAATATATATACCAATGATAGGCCAAAACATACATTATTAGTGTACCTGATGTGCTAAGTTGTGTATAACAAGAATGCTGCGGGCAAATTTATAAACACCATGAGGACGATACTTTGACGCCAAAAGTCTGAAAAGCAAGATAAAAAAATGTTGGATAAGTCTATCAAATAAAGTAGTTGAAAATCATTAAATAATCAAGCGGACTTGCATATAACAAAAGTTAGATGGGAAACTTTAATATTCTATGAAGAGACATTAATTTCTGATACCATAATCATACTCCTCCTTATAACCTCAGATTATGCTAGGCAAGAAGTATTAATTGTCAAGTGCCAGAAGAATAGTTCATCACTCACTGAAAAGCTACTTTGATGGTGGAAGCCTGACCTTCATTCGTAAGTGTCAGAAGCATCGCACCAAAATAACTAGGGGGAATAAATGGTTGAAAAGCTATAAGGAATTACCATTTCAATGGCCAATAAATTGTATGTTTTGGGTTCAATAAAAACAAATCTACTGCTTATCTTCACAATAAATCCAGGTTAAGAACATATAAAACGATCAAACCCTACAAGCTAAAAATATATAGTCATTATACCTAGATTCTCCGAGTGAAAAAGATATAAAGAAAAAAAAGTTTTTGTGCATCAGTCAATCATGAACTTAAGACAGAACATATAATAAATAGTTTTGCCACCTACATTGGAACTAGACCTGCATGCCAATCATTAACGAGGAATAGGCAGTTCTGTCCATAAGTATAACCTCCTAATGGTAGTACTAAGGGAGCCTCACAAGCGGCATGGCATAGTACCGTGAACCTAAACTGCACAGTGAAACCAAATCATTAGCACACCGAAAGGGCTATTATATAGTCCAAAGAAAAAACTTTCCTGATGAATAGAAATACCTGATTATCTCCAAAAGACCCGTTTTCATCACTATATGGGTTCCCAGGTCTGTGATAAGAAGGATGGTCAACAAAAACCTGAACCATAAATATTTTGATAAAAAAAACAAGAATTTAAATTAAGCAGACTAGCAATTAAATTATTAGAAACAGGATATTACTAAAGCAAAGTACACACAATATGCAAATGGTAATCATCCATAATACTTGGCACAGTAAGATTAATTAGACATTTCCCAACTCAATGAGAATGAAGAAACAATAAGAGTTCCAACAAACACTGAAGGTTCAGCAAAGTTAACAACATGAACGATCAAGAAATCAGTTGGAATAAAAAGGTTAAATCATTCCTTGTCCATGCATAAAGTCATAACTTGACAGTATCATTATTGATAAATTGTTGATATATTATAGCTTGTTTCTTTCCTAAAAGGTGAATGTTAAAGCAGGAAAACATATGAAATGGAATGTTGAAAGATATAAGGAAAGGCAATCACCCAATCAACACCAGCCCTGTACTCATGAAAGAAAGCAACCTCTGGCTGTCCTCCAAAGCAAGAAACCTTTATTCGGACCCCCGTATCAAAAGCAGCGGAATATTTTTCATCTGAGGTGCCATTTAGATATCTTGGAGACACTACCATCACACGGTGAAAACGAGCGGCAAGAGCAATAGGTAAAGAACCACACACATCCGCAAGGCCGCCTGTTTTTGAATAAGGAGCAGCTTCGGAAGTAACAAAAATAATGTTGCGCTGCACATTAGTTAGAAGCTTCTTTTCTTTGTTGTTATCCTCTTGTTCTTCTTGTTCTATGGTAGCAAATGTTTCAGTTGCAATACCTGCCTTTTCAGTGGCACATGGAATGTAAACTTCAGGGCTCCCTACACAATTTGTTTGATTATAATAAGCTGTTTAAAAAGAATACCAAGCAATTGAAAATTAAAAATTGGAGGTCGATACAAAAGTTCAACTATACTACAATCCAAACAATCAAGTTGGTTAGGGAGGGTCAAGGAAAAAATGGAAATTTTGTATAAAATTTCTTGTACTTAATCTTCTTGTGGAAATAGAAAATAGTTTTACAAACTTATGAACAAGGACAATAGTTTACCCTATTTTGTAAGATGGCAAGTGTAATTCTTAAAACCATGGCACATATGATAAGGTTTCTTAATACTCTAACAAATATAACGTAGTTCTTAAAACCCTAAGAAATACATCTGAGTTATTTGTAACTCTGGTCTGGTATTACTACAGAATTTATTATGAAAGCATGTACTACTTACAAAGTTCGTATATGAACCCAAAAAAAGCACAACACGTTTTTTATGTCCTCTGCGGTTCAGGTAGCTTCCCCTTGATGTGACAAGCTCATCCACACTCCCCCACCATGATCAAGCTCAAAGTTTATAATGACTATGGCAATCTCACCATGAAACCATGCATTGAAATCATGGGCTTATGAAATCCAACTATCCATACTACGATTTTGAAATACCTCATCCTCCCTCCACACATCCCATGCACTTTTGGTGAAGAGATTAAATGAATTTGACCTGAAAATGGTAAGAAAAGATAAAAGGTAGATGGGGAAAGATGAATGCAAGGTTTAAGAAATGGGGGAGGGAGTTAATTAGTTTTTGGAGATAGGAAAGGTATGTTGGAGAAACACAGAAGTAAAAGCATAATGGGAAAAACAATGTTTAATGCAAATGAGGGTATTTTATTAGATTTTTTGAATTCAATTAATAAGGCTGGTAGGGGTTGAGGGCAAGCCAACAAAAGGAAAGTTTACAGTCTGACTTGTGAAATATGATAGGCTTTTAAGTGGTGTTGAGATGGGAAGGGTTACTTTAGGCTAGGTATATAGTAAACTATGATAGTGGATTAAGGAAAAGAAGAGTGAGCTTTAAAAAGGGAATAAATGACAAATACAATAATCCACATGAGACCTGAATTTGTTTGAATCAGAAAAGCAAAGGAATAAAAACAACTTAGAATACAATTGAATTCAGTGGAGAGTTAGAGCACCATATTAGTAACACTGGTTCCAAATCTCATGCAGATCTAGATTGATTTCATATGGAAACTAAAGTATATAGTAAGCAACTTAATATAAAAAAACAATAAAAAAAAGTAATATTTTAGCACTTAACTAACCCGCAGAAATGACAAATGAACTCAATATGATGTAAAATCTGAAGTGTTTAGATATAATACAAGAAATGTTGTTTCCAATGTTGTAGGGTTATAAGGAGGTTTAGTTAGGGAAAAAAAAATAAAAACAACATGTTTTCACAAGTAACATTGAAAATGGCAGACACTAAGATTTTAGCAAAAACCTATTCCAAATTTTAGGAACCGTGCTTAATTTAATAAGAAAATGATTAAGATAGCAAGTACAACAACGACAACAATAATAACCAAGCTTTTATCCCCCAAAATTGGCTACATGAGTCATTTTTCTCCATTGTGTCCTATTGAATGTCATATTTCATTTTATTCTAATAGATTAATATAATTTTTTATATAACATGCCCAAGTCTCTTTAGGCCTATCTCTACCTTTCTTACCAAAAGTTAAATCTAAAACATCTACTTTATTAACAGGATCATCAGATGATCAACGCTTAATGTGACCAAACCAACTAAGATGACTCTCTCAAATCTTATCAGCCACAAGAGCCCAACATTTTCACAGGTATATTCATTTCGTAATTTTTCTTTACGTGAAAAGTCACTCATCCACCCAAGCATTCTCATCTCGGTAACGCTTAACTTAGTTTTATGCTTCTGTTTTATAGGACAACATCCTAAACCAAAAGACATTGCAAGTCTCACCACCATCTTATAAAATTTTCCTTTAAATCTAAGCGATACCTTTTTATCACACAATAGGCCTTATGTGTTCCTCCACTTCAACCATCCAACATGAATTCTACTAATAACATCCCCAACTATATCACCATCATTTTAAACAATAAACCTAAGATATCTAAAAATTCACTACTTTTGAATGACTTGATCATCCATTACTACAACCGCACCACTAGATCTACTATTACTAAAATTACATTTCATGTATTCAGTTTTAGATTTACTTTTATCAAACAATGACTCGTGGCAATTTAAAATGGATAGTACACCAATGATCATGCCAAACGAGATAAACTAGCGATCAAGTCCATTTTCAACCTAAGACATAAAGCTTGTGGAGAGTCTGCAAACATACTTCAACTATCATATCTATAAGTAAACAAAAACTCCGCGTGCTTTAACAATCTTCCCATGTATGAGAACTCTCTGCATAATCCGTTACTACGTGATAAAAGAAGGCTTTCCAGCCGTATCAACTATCACCAACAAGTGCTTACTCAACAACATGGATGCATCATAGGACTCAACCCAGCTTTTGAACCTCACGCAATGGTGATAAATGGCTGCCAAGAAACATGAAAACCACAGACTGCGTAAATCACTCAAATTCCAACCAAACCACTGGTTGTGACACCATTTTTTATGAAGGTTGAACTGAAAGAAAACCTATGTTTGGTTAAATACTGCAATGCTTTAACTAGCTTTCTACCCTAAACATTAATAAGTCTATGAGTAAGAACCATTTAGAAGTTCTATTCCGACATATTTTTTTAATTATTTGACGTAGAATTAAACCTAAAATCCCAACTACAACATAAATTGATATAATCATAACAGCATACTACGACAGGTATATAAGCATAATACATCAAATTAAGTAAGCATCTTAAATCGCAACACAAAATATTTAATGGAAAAAAGATCACTTTTATTCATAACATCCATTTCTCGTTATTCTTAGGAGCTACATCCAAATCAACTGTTTCATTGAGGTGGAGGGGTCCTTTCTTCTTGCCGTTCTGCATCACTCACTCTCCGGAGGGTTACCTGGTTCATCTGTTTCTTTGACTTGGAGTAGCCTCTTCTCCTTCTTCTTCTCTAAAACACATTTCATCGGCTGCAAGCATGGGAGTCTCTTGCTGGAAAATCCGGCCGCCGCCCGCACCGTACGTCGACGCCGCACCGCTGGGCTAGAAAGCGAGAGCGCAACAGAGAACTGGGCCGTGTAGAACGGACGCAGAGCTTCCATTTAAATAGAAGGAGAGAGAATCGAAGTAAAAATGCTTGAAAAACAAAGAGATACGTTAGGGAGACGGAGAAACAGACAGTGGGCTACGCTGAGAAATGCCTGGTTGGGTTTATATCAGTGAAGATCTATGAACCGATAAGCAGCAACAAGACAACACAATTTTTAGAATATTATATATAAGGCTGTTAACTTGACTCGATGTTGGTGAACAGCTAGAATTTGTTAGGCACCTTCGTTAAATCAAACGAGTGAAACTATAATAATTTTTTAGGTTTGAAATGTAAACGAGCCGAACACGATTAAAAGTTTGTTCGCTCATGTTCGGGTCGAATTCCCTCGAAAATAAATAA